CGAAGTTCCAACGAAGTGTCAACGTGTCGAAGTACCGAAGTGCAAAAGTGTTGAAGTGCAAAAGTGTTGAAGTGCAAAAGTTCCGAAGTGCCGAACCGAAGTGCCAAAGTTCCTAAGTGCCGAATTTCAGAATGCCGAACCGAATATTTTCCCCATGCACATTCCTATCAGTTAGTATGTCTCTTGAGTCCTCTTTCCTCTTTGCCGGCTCTTGGAGAGAATGGGGGATTTGAATACCATGTTTGCCACTGGAAATTCCTCGCATGCGGTCCACTGTGAGCTGCTGTGAGTTCCACCTTCTGCACTTGTCAGTGAAGTGTTGATTGATGGTGCCTAGTTTTTTTTTTAAAAACATTTCTTTATTGTCCATGTCGTAGAATTTTCTAATTAGAGTGTCTGGAGTTGGGTTATTTTTACATACCATGTATTTCTCACATTTATTAAAACCTATTCCATCTGATCGAGGATTCACTTTCCTTTGTACTTTCATTGCGGGTGTCAACATTGTTTTTAGATTCGGTGCTTTAGAATAAATTATGTTTGGTTTGATACCCAATATGTGTGCCAATGGTGGGTCGCCGTCCAGAATGCCCCAGTGTTTCTTCAGGATATTTCTTATTTGGAAGGATTGATGACTGTACTGGATAATGAAGGAAGGAACTTCAGTACTCGACTGTACTGATTTTGGTTTGTGCTCCAAAGTTTTCTCCCTCAGGAATTCTAAGTCTCTATTCACGGCTTCATCCAGTTGGTCCTTCGAATACCTCTTCTTTATAAATTGTTTGCACATATCTTCCATTTGGACCAGGCATACTTCATTTTCTGAACAGTTGCGTTTAACTCTTCTGAATTGACTGAATGGGATGTTCTCTAACCATGTTCTTTAATGATGGTTGCTTAATGGAATGAAACTATTGCAGTCAACTGTTTTCCTAAATGTTTTGGTCTGTATTTTGTCCTCCTTAATATCAATCTCCGGGTCCAGGAATTCTACAGATTCTATGTACTAGAAAGGTGAATTTCAGATTGTATGGATTAAAATTGAGATAATTCTTGAATAGTTCCAGAGATGGGAGATCTCTTTCCCAGATGAAAATGCAATCATCAATGTGTCTCTGGCAGGACAAGGTTTGTGCCAAATGGGGAGTTGTTCCAAATAAATTAATCTTCCCATTTGCCCATAAATAGGTTGGCATCTAGGCAAAACTAGGCAGCATTAATCAGCACTTCACTGACAAGTGCAGAAGGTGGAACTCACAGCAGCTCACAGTGGACCGCATGCGAGGAATTTCCAGTGGCAAACATGGTATTCAAATCCCCCATTCTCTCCAAGAGCCGGCAAAGAGGAAAGAGGACTCAAGGGACATACTAACTGATATCAATTTTCTACCGGGCGATATATAAACTATACCTGGAACTTTTGTAATTTGTGTTTCATCCTATTTTTATTCCAATAAAAGTTTTACCAGAGAACACTATGTCTCTGCTTTTCTCATTATAGATTTACCCCAGCATGGGATCCTGACACAGAGATAATCATCTGGAATATACAAACAAATCAAGATTTTTTTACCATAGTAGGGATTACTTCACTAAACTTTCATTAAGCTGATACATTGTTAAATACCAGGACTATAACAAATTGACCACCTCACGAAAAAACGCTTAGTGGAGGACTTTGGACATAGAAAACTTCATTCTTTTATTATCTAGTCTTATTTAAAATTTGATATAACATTGTTGCTTTTTAAATATTCAGTTGTTTAGTGAATATACCCCTTTTTCTTCTTCTTTAGCCTTTACCAAGTGGATTTATTCCTTTAATACGATTTTTCTCCTATTCCTGGTTCAAGCAGTAAAACAACTTCTTGCTATTAAACTTATTTTCTTCTAGCCTTGGGTGGGTTTTTTTATAACTCACCGGTTGTAGTAGGAGATTTGGTACATGTATTGATCTTACTATTAATTTTACTAAGGTATTCATTGTCCACAATCTGTTCTATCCTCTACTTTGCACTTTATTGCCATATCGTGTATAGCCTGTCTCCTCTCCCTACCCCGTGTCTCCCAGGACGGTTCTATACCATTATACCACCCAGGTTTTTTACTAATTTTATTCTATATAATAATATAATAATTTGCGATTTTTATAGCGCTCTTCTCCCTGTGAGACTCAGAACACTTTACAAATATACAAACATAAAGACAAAAAAGTTAGGAGTTAGATGTAAATGATGTCCCCTCTCTTCTCTCACACTTGGCAGCAACTTTTCTAGGTAAAACATCATGGCTGCATTTTAGCATCCAGCAGATAATGTTGCTATGTGTTTTCTAGTATAAGAGGCTGGGCTATCCAGCTCCCAGCAGTAACTTTTTGTGCTAACTTTGCAGTGTTAATTTTGTCGACTAATAATTTTAGTCAAATTTTAGTCGACTAAAATTTTTGAGATTTAGTCGACTAAAATTAGACTTAAACTAATATGGCAATTTAGTCAAAAGACTATGAAATGTAGTTTTAGTCATAGTTCACCAAAATTAACACTGCACAGAGGGGCTGTGGCAGGAGCAACAGAGATAGACCAGGGCTTGGGAGAGAGACACATAGAGAAGCTAGGAGGACACAAAGAGACACAGAGGGGTTGGGGAAGGGGCAAGAGAGACAGATAGAGGATTTATTTAAACCCATTAGATTTTAGTAGTTTTGACTAAAATCTCCAGAAGATTTAGTAGACTAGAATCTACTGGAGATTTAGTAGACTAAAATCGCCTCGAGATTTAGTCGACTTAAATCTTTTGGAGATTTAGTCTACTAAAACTAGACTAAAACTAAAACAATTCAGATAACTAAAATATGACTAAAACTAAATTGCTTTTTAGTCAAAACACTATGACTAAAACTAAATTAAAATTTGCTGCCAAAATGAACACTGTTACCTTGCTACAAATGTTCACTTCTATAATGTTAAGGAATATTGCTCTTTCACTATTTTAGGACATGGGGGTGGTTCCTGTCACAGAAGCACCACTTACTCCTCACCATGAGAATGTTTCCACCTCTACAACAAAGACGATCATAATAATCAATACCATGCCACTTTTCCTCCAGGAATGACATCTTAGACCAGTCCTATCAACTGGGGTGCAAGTTGAATCTGGAACTCGAGAAGAATACTAGTATTTTTTATTATCCAGAAATCTGAAACATATGTTAAAGTTGGTCTATCTTTAGTCTTATAAGTGGGTTGGTGAGAAAAGTCTACAAGATGCCATATTATGAATAATGTATTCATCTATGTGATTATCAAATGTTATTATTATTTATGATTGGAATTATAACAAAACAAGCAAACGTACGCAGATAACTTTGGTGCAGAGGAGAATGCAACTCAGCTTTTAGTGACAGGAGTACAAACGTGTATTCCTGTCATTATAACTGTGAAAACACAATTTAGCTTCCCTGTCAGCAATGTAACTATAATTACTCATCCTTATAACAATGCTACACAGCTCCATCACAGCTGGCTCCACCTACCCTCTGCCTCCTTGGCTGCGATCTTCATAATTGACGATATCAGCCAATCCAATGCTTTCCCATAGAATCATTTTGCAAAATGCAAAATCAGATTTCTATGTCTACGTCACTTCCGGTGCCCACATGTCACCTGAAGAAATCTGCCGGGTATACTGCGCATGCGCTCATCACATCCTTCAGCTATAGAAATCTGATGGGTGTACTGCGCATGCGCACAGCACATCAATCAGATACGTCAATCTAATCTACAAATCTGACAGGTGTTCTGTGCATGCACGCGGCACATCCTTCAGCTTTAGAAACCTGATGGGTGTACTGACATGCGCATGGCACATCCATCAGATATAGCAATCTGATATACAAATCTGATGGATGTACTGCGCATACACACGGCACATCCTTCAGCTATATAAATCTGATGGGTGTACTGCGCATGCACGCAGCACGTCCATCAGATATAGCAATCTGATATACAAATCTTATTGTATTGCAGTTGCAAT